ATATATATATATATATATATAAGTAAGTGTATCACGTGTTTCAATTAAAAATTGATGGATGTATTCAGAAAACTTTCGATTTTAATATCGGGCGATAAAATCTAGATTGTTTCTTTTCTTTCTTAATCTGCTCTCCAGCGAGTGTCTTTTTTTTTTACGAGTTCTTCGTTTCGCTTGGAATCCCAACTTCTTCCAACTGGTTTCTGCCACGATACTATTACAAATATTTCCGGCGGGTCGAGCGACGCCGAAGAGTCTGCGACGTATTTGCTCTCCCACCTAATCCTCGTAACACGCATATTTTAATATTTACTCATTCGAATAACACGCATATTTACCCACTCATCCGATCCAAATATTATTCGATACGCAAATACGCGTCTAGGAATTTTTTTCCCCCATATTTACGAAACGAATAGTACCAACCATTTGTACCGGTCGAGTTTACGATAAAGAAAAATTCACGCGCGAAAGAGGAGAAGAGATGGTGCATGCACGTTTTGCTCTGAAAAAGAGAGAGAGAGAAAAAAAGACGTACAAATCAATCGCGTTGCGTCAATCTTTCTCAAAACTCGTTCGTCGTTTATACTTACCTACAAAAGAGCACATGCACGCACGCACATTTATTGCCTGGCCAAGTATCGCAACGCGAATTAAGGGCGACTGTTGCCATGCAAGATATCCAAGAGTCGCAACGTCGCGCGTGTTTCAAGGGCTCGAAACGAAATGGGCCGTTGTTCGCCGCCTTTTGTGAGAAACGGAACACGGAGGAGAGACGACACGAGCTTCGAATTTTGTACCAAACAGTAGCCGTGGATCTAACGATAAGATCCCTCGGATTTCGCCATTATTGCACATACACGTTACAATCGTTAGGAAATCGTTCCGTGACGCGAGATAAGTTTTCGAGATCCTTTTTCTTTTTTTTTTTATCATGTTCTGACCGGCCGCAAATTGCGAAATTCGAAATTAGAATTAGAGAAGTTTCTCGCAAAAGCGGTTACAAACACGGACGACAAACAAAGTATCTTGTGACACCACAGTGTACCAGTTATTATCTTTTTTTGATACGTAACGCGCGTGTTATACGTAACCTGTGTTTCTAGAACACGATCGAGGCAAATTTGAGAGAGATTTGCATTTCGCGAGAAAATATTTGTGAAACGTGACCGCAGAATTTTGATATGTCTTTGTCGCAAGATTAAGATTTATATTGTTGTTGTTATTATTATTTTCGTATTTTAAGGTGTTGGGTCCGGTCTCGGGATGTCACGTGAATCCAGCTGTATCGGTGGGCCTTTTAGTGAGCGGAAACTGCAGCTTTCTAAAGACGGTGTGCTACATTGTTTGTCAGTGTTGTGGTGCAATCGCGGGTTCGGGAGTTTTGAAGGTAAGATTATTGATATAATATCTCTCGCACGGGACGCGGCTCGTGCGTGTCAATCGGCCAATAATTATACTGTTTTTACTACACTCTCTAAATTGGATTTTTATTATCGCTATTTGCAATTTATTTATAATATATATATATATATTATATATACGTATATATACATATATATTCTCGATCTTCTTATCTTTCTCATTCAATTATAAGTATTATAAAAAAAAAAAAAAAGCTTCTTAATCGTTTACTTAAAACGTTTTGGAAGGTCATGGTCTTATCTTATCCCGAGTAAGCCGGGATTAGTTACGTGAGAAGAAGCAACAGCTCGAACAAATTGCAGATATACGTTACGCCTGATTCGTTCCAGACAGTCAATTCACAGCCGCCCATTAATTTCTACGATTAGCCTTTATTGATGAGCTCTCCGATGTTCCGTGAATAAAACTAACGGCGTGTCGATCGTCGATTATGAATACGTGACGTGAGGAAAAAAAAAAAAGGACGAGAAGAGCAAATTGACCGTTAACGGATCGGATTTAATGGAATAAATATGGTTCGATTGATTAAAAAAAAAACTTTCGGTTATCGGTTTCGGATAACGAATAAATTTCTCCTTTTTGCGACACGGCAATAAGTAATAATTGTTGCAACGCGATTACATCTGAAACACTGTTGCATCGAACTGTTACATAATGCAACGTGTTAGCCCATTAACCCCACCATTACCACCCATCGATCGACTACCAAAACCTGGCTCATTGAACGAAATGCGACTATAATTACCTAATAAAAACGATACGACCGAACGGAGAACATGTTTGATTTAATCCCCCCCCCCTTTTTTTTATCTTCCCTTTTTTTCTTTTTCTTCGTTCCCTCCGTGACATAATGTTTCGTGCCAACTCTAACTAATTGACGAATAATTGCAAAAGAAAAAAAGCTCTTGGAATCGCTCTTTAATCGATTTCATCGTATTAACAACGACAAGTTTTTTTTCTCCCCTTTTTTTTGGAAGAAAAATTTTTCCAATTTATTATTATTTTTTTTTTTTTTTTTTTCTCTCTCCTTTCCAGTTATTGATCCCTAAGGAAGCGATCGGTCAGGGTTTAGGCGCCACGGGATTGGGGGAAATGGTGAGCGAGAGCCAGGGCATCTTCATGGAAGCGATAATCACGTTCCTTCTGCTTCTGGTTGTCCACGCGGTCACAGATCCGAAGAGGAGCGATACGAAGGGATGGGCACCGTTGGCGATCGGGTTGACGATCACCGTTTCCCACATGGCAGCTGTGCCAGTGACGGGAAGCAGCATGAATCCGGCCAGAACGTTGGGTCCCGCTGTCATACTTGGCCAGTGGAAGAATCTGTGGGTCTATTGGATCGGGCCGATGATCGGCGCCTGCGCGGCCGGTGGATTGTACAAGATGGCGTTCAGGCGTAAAAAGGAGGACGACGAGGCTTCCTACGATTTTTAAATTTTCTCGAGTAGAATTTGTGAATGTATGAATACGTCGTTTTTTTTTTGCGACGATATGCGTTGTTTGTTGTTTTCTTTTTTGTTTTTTTTTTTTTTTTTTTTGATTTTCACTTCGAAATCAACGAGTAACGAGTATTTTTGTAATAAGATATCTTGTTTTGAATTGGAAGGATATGTAATGTTTTGGTTTAGATTAACAAAACTCTCTCTCTCTCTC